TCTGAGATTTAAGTGGGACGTAAAATTTTACGATACATATAGTATTTTAGATGACAGCTTCATTATTTCCACTGAATAATTTGAAGTGCTACAAGGAGAAATATTGATGGCGAACTGGTAATTGTCATTAAATATGCAGCATTTTTGCAGCAGTCACTTGTGCAAAAAATAAATTTTCTGAACTTCTAGGTAGCAGTGCAGAACGGTCTGAAATGCAATTCCTTTGTCTTGGGCCTTTTCCCATCATGGAGGTCACTTGAGGCTCCAAACATGTTCAGACATGAAAACTTCAAAGTGACTTTGCAATTTTTCTTTCTAAAAAATGAGCATGGTATCATATTATTGAATGTCAAAAGGAGAACACTTGGTTTGTTATTGAGTTGATCTTTTGGTTCCTGCTGCCTGATGGGATTTTTATTTTTGCTGCCTTAGTTGTCTCCTGTCCAGTGGACATTCCCTTTTTCCTGAGCCAGGAGGGATATCTTTTGCAGGAGTAATTAAAATCTGTGTCATGGGAGGTGGACATAACAGGTCAGTGGGAAGAATGAGACAGTGCACCAGAGCTGCAAGGCAGGGTGTAAAACAGACAGGTGCAGTTTATTATTGGAATGATTCCAAACAAAACATTCCTGTTGGTTCAGTGCCTCGCCGTGGAGTGCATTACTCCGGACTGTGGGAGTGGCTTCTCCTTCTGGAATGCAAAAGACAATGAAAAAAAAAATTAAGTTTCTGGAAAAAAGCCAAGCTCTTCAGTTCAAGGAGGGATTTAGGTCATTCCTTATTTTGTTTCTCTTGTTGGGAAGAATTTATTTTGCTTTTAGGTGAATGAAAAATTCTGCTCAGGATGGTGCTTCTCTTGTTAAAGAATTCAAGTGAGAGACCAGTACATTAGGTCTTTGTTAGCATTTGTGAGCAGCTTTGTTAGCAAATATATTTACAAAAATGCTATGCTTGTCTTCTCTTTTGTAATTATTATGCCTCGACATAAAAGAAAATGGATTAAATGTTTCCTGTAAAATGCTATCTGTTTGGTATATCTTGAGTATTCAGCTTTATAATCACTAAACTATTCAAGTACAAGGCAATCAGTTTAAAAAAATGCCATTAGAGTTGGTCAGGATGTTTGCAATAAAGCATTTTGAATAGAAAACTGTAACATTTTTCTTAACTACAGCTTCTTTTAAGCAAGCAAGCATTCAGTGAGGCTGAGAACAATCAGTGTTTAAGGCATGAAAAAAAGAGCACGTGGGGGGGATCAGCTGGCTCTGAGGATGCTGAGGGTGCTGTTTCAGTTCTTATTCCTCAGGCAGATCAGAAGCTGGATCGTGTGGGTTGGGCTCTCAGGTGATGCTGTCTGGTTGAGCTCTTGCTCTCAGCTGGTGCTGGCCAGCACCCACAGCTGCTTTTCCACTGGGCACCCTCCAGCCTGGGTTTTGTGATCCAAGTGCAGGACCCAGCTCTTGGCCTTGCCAAACCTCACACAGCTGCCTCAGCCTTGGATCCAGCCTGTCCAGACCCCCCTGCAGAGCCTTCCTGCCCTCCAGCAGATCCACACTCCTGCCCACCTTGATGTTGTCCCTGAACTTGCTGGGAGTTCCCTCAATCCCCTGGTCCAGATCATCAGTAAAGATGTCAAACAGGGCTGGGCCAGTGCTGGGCCCTGGGGAGCACCACTGGGGACAGCCCCAGCTGGATGTAACTCCAGCCACCACCATTCCCTGGGACTGGGTGTCAGACAGGCTTTTACCCAGCAAACGGCACCAGTCCAAGCCATAAGCAGCCAATTTCTCCAGGAAAATGCTGTGGAAAGTGCTGTCAAAGGCTTTGATAAAGTCCAGAAAGACTAAAGATAGATAGATCCATAGCTGTTCCCTCATCCACTAAGTGGGTCACCTTGTCATAGAAGGAGAACGGGTTGGTTAAGCAGGATCTGCTTTTCCTATTGCATGGCTGGGCATGATTCCCTGGTTGTGCCATAGATGCTGTGTGATAGCAGTCAAGATGATCTACTCCATCACCTTCCCTGGTACTGAGGTCAAGCTGCAGGCCTAAAGTTCCCTGGATCCTTTTTCCAGCTCTTATCGCAGCTGAGTGTCACGTTTCCAGCCCCCAGTCACCTCTGGGACTTCCCTGGATAGCCAGGACTTCTGGTCAGGGATGGAGAGTGGTGTGGTGAGCTCTTCTGCCAGCTCCCTCAGTCCATTTGGGTGGATCTCCCATCTGGCCTCATAGAACACACTTGTGCATGTAAAGATCATGGAAAGGTCTAGAAAGATTATTCAGCCATACGTGAGATAAGAATTACACTTGCAAGGTACTGAGTGGACAGTTTGATAGCTCCTGAGAATTTAATATTCCTTTAAATCTGCGACAATGCATAAAGCACACTTCAGCTATGTCCTGTTCTAGTATTTTTTCATGGAAAATTAAAGATTATTGCCTCCCTTTGTAGTATACAGTAGTTTTCTGAGAATTCTGTGCCAGGCAGCTGGTACAGAAGAAATTCCCCTTCTGCAGTAATAGAAGGCAGTGATTAAACCTGAACACAGCAAATGGAGCTATAAAGTAAATCAAAGTGAGTGTTGAATTGTGCCTTCATGCACCCGGTGGTAAACTCCTCCTAACAAAGCACAAAGCTTCCTTTCTTTGCCCAGGAACTGTGAATTGCAGCCTCTGTTTGCAGTGTTGCTGTCACCTGCTGTAAATCCAGTCTGAAAAGAAATTGTGGAAGGAAGAAGTTGAAAGTGTATTTGTCCCCCTTCCGCCCAGGGTGGTCACCCCACAATATGTGACATGTTAGCTTATGGGTGGAAAAAGCCACCTCAAAGGGGCCCCGAGTGTTTTAAATCATCTTCTGAGAGAAGTGGTTTGAGTTTTTTAAAGTCTGATTAAATCAGTGGAAAGGCTTTCTTGGCTTTTAACAAGTGATGCTTAGATCTGTAGCACAGTCTGATTGGTGGAAAATAAAATGGCTAAATTCAGAATTTGGTTAAGATCATATCACTTTCTGGCCATAAAGTCCTGATGTAGATACCCTGAGCTGTGGATGGAGGGATGGTGCTCATGCTTTCAGGGCCAATGTCCCACCTCATCCCATCTGGTTCTGAAGCCTGTCCCTGGCTGTCCTGTCAGTGATGGGAGAGGAGGACAGGTGTTTCACCCTGTTTCACCAAAGCATGTAATCTCTGGATGCTGCTGCACCACTGACTCCTGAACCAGCCTGCCCTGGCTGCCTTGCTGCCCTACAGACAAGCTGTCAAACCTTAGCAGGGATTTTGATGCTTAGGTGACTTGGGAAGACAGCTGGAATAAGCCTAACAGGTTTATTTGCTGTTTTCACACTGGTTTTTTTCTGAAGGTAGTTTTCAGCATTAGGTGAGCATCCAAAGCAGCAGTGCTGATACAGAGGCTGCTCAAAGTGGATTCAGCTTGGTTTTCCTTGGGATGCCAATTGCAGCACCGATGGATGGGGGCTCTGTGTAGAGGGGTGGCACACTGAGCCTTCCAGGTGAGCAGAAAGGAAAGGGAGCATAAAACCAAAGTATTTTTAACCATATCTTGCAGTCTGATTGCCTGCTGGATCTGCTGTTCCTTCTCATAATACGCTTGAAAAGTTTTATCTGTGCCTCGAGGGTGATGAGCCTGTCTTCATTTAGGGATGCAACTGCAGATAATAGCACTGTGCTCTTGACAGCTTTATGTGCTCACAGCCTGCCTCTCTTATTTACTCACTTGTAGATGTGGGCTCTTGTAAAAGCAGCTCAGTTTTCTCCCCTCCCAGTTATAATTGCTTCCTGGGCTGCCTTGTTACAGAGCCGGTTCCTGGAGCGTGAGGTGAGAGAGGCACTTTCTGCCAATATAATTTTTTTTTTTAAATGTATAATTAAGGCTGGATAGTCATTATGTTTTTTTTCCCTAGGTTCATAATTAAAGAAACCTTGAAGGAGGGGTTTGTAACTAATATAAGGGCAAAAGAGGAGGTAACATGTGATGGGACCCTTTTGTTTATAAACAGTTGAGCTTCTAGAAACTTCAGATGTAGCTGAAGTTTCTTGAGGATCCGGAAGTGCTAAGTAATTGAACAATGTAGCAAAGTCAGTCGTGACTGTTTGTCACTTAAAACACATTTTTAAGACATTGGGTGTAATTCAGTACTAAAAGAGTTATATTTTATGAATTTTTATGAATTATAATGTCCTTGTAAAGTCTATGGAATTACACAAATTTCTAATTTTAAAAAATAGCTTATTTTCCTTTCTAAAAACAATAGTTCCCTGTGTTGTATTCCACATTACATCCCTCATGTGCCTCCTTTTGGTGCTCATTCTGGCAATAATTCTTTTGGTTGGCAGGTTTTCCTGACTGTCCTTGTTGAAAGGGCTTTTGGAAAGATGCTTCTCATCAGAACATCTGCTTTGGTCCAGGTCTCTTGGTTCATCTGCAGCAGAATGGATGGTGGTGACCCAATATATTCATAATTTTAGATCTCTTAATTTTGGGTGAGAGGCAAGAGTCAGAAATAAGAGTGGCTCATTTTGGTCAGCCTGAAGGGGAAGGATCAAAACTACTTTGGCCTACAGGAAAAAGTAATCTGACTTTTGGGGACCTGCACAATTTGTACTGTGGAAAATAAGTTCTGGAGGTAGGGGTTGCTAGAAAATGTGGGGTAATTATCATTAGTTCTGTTGAGATAATTTCATCAATAGAAAGCTGTAATATCTCATTCCTTTTTCTTACCTCCTTCAGAGAGTGGACTGCAGCCAAGATGTCACACACTGAGCTTGAAACACATTTTTTTCTTTGCTTTCCTGAATAAATTTTTAAGATAATTGTTCAAGTATTACGCTTTGCAGCCTGAAGCCTCACCCCATGCTGTTCTGTAGCATATTCCTCCACGGGCAGGTGGACGTGTGACATCAAGTCAGTCTGTTTGGAGCAGTCTGTGGGTATTGAACCAGGCTGTGCCTCCCTCCATGTCTGTCTTGTTTGATTTGCTCCAGGTGAAGAAGTTGCACATCACCTCTGCTCAGAGCTTCCCCATCCCGAGGTGGTGGCTTGTGAAGTCCCTTGTGCCAGGGACTGTGTGCTCAGCGAGTGGTCCCCGTGGTCCCCCTGCTCCCACTCCTGCTCCAGCAGAAATGCCGAGGGCACTCAGAGCAGGAGCAGGTCCATCGTGGCCCTTCCAGCCGAGGGTGAGTGCTGAACTTCTCTGGATAATCACTGTTCCTTTAATGCTTTCACTTCCTTTCCTGAGCCAAGAGCTAATCCCAGTTCCTCAGGAATCAGGGATAATGCTGAATGCTTGTCTCTGCAGAGAGACTAAGAGGTCTTGATGGGCTGGAGTTCATGTGTCAATTGGAGAAATTCTGTCACAGCTGAAAACTATTTACTTCAGCCTCTGAAGTGCTGTCTGTTGAGGGCCTGTCTGGGTGTGAATTTGGTTCTGGAGAGCTTCATTCTCTACCAGTAAAATTGCTGCATGACAGAGTTGCCATGCAAGTGTCTTTATATGGGAACGTATCAGTAATGATTTAAAAGCTGTGAAAAATGAGAAAATGGAAAAGGATCTTGCTTATTTATTTTTTTTTTAATATAACACCTGGAAAGTGTTGACCTGCTTGTTGTAGTAAGTAAATAGCTCTTGATAAATACCTGTCATTTCTTCTTGATCTTCATGGACGTATAATGTATCAGGTTTTTTGCATATTAACATCAGTGATACAGCTATTTAAACAAACTTTTTTGTATTAGAAGTGTAGTCTTCTAATTCAGTTACACATATGGTAATTAATTTATGTGCTGGTTTATCACACGGGATTTGGAAGGTCTTGGATCAAGTGAATAAAAATTCATAGAACGTGAAGAGGTCCAACAGACTAAAGCCTTGTTGACATAAAATACTTGCTAGTGCCAAAACTTGGTGCAGTTAATGCAGCAGCAAAACACTTTTAGATGCAAATCTAGTCCAGGACAAGTTCTGTTAAATGCTATTTTGTAAATTATAATTAAAGCCACCCACTGTTTCTGGACTAATGTAAGGACTTGATCTTGCAAACCCCTACTCATGGGAAAGGTCTGTATTCACATAAACATCCTCATAAGCACTTGTGAAGAAAATTGTGACCCTTCAGGATGAAAATAATTGTTGATTGAATGATAATAACTACTACTAAAAAAGTCTATGAGATAGAGAATAATTTAAATGAAAATACAGTTGGTCTTATATTTTCCATGGATATAATGAATCCAAATAACAGGTAAAACATGGTAAAACGAGAGTGAAATGGTGAAGAAGTGAATTCTGGAAGTACAGAAGCACAATCATCTTAGACTGAAAGGCACTAGCCTAAAAATGGTGTATTCAGAATACTTGAAGTTTCTCTGAATTGAATACTTGAAGTTTCTGAGGAAGGAATAATTAACTATTAAAATCAAACTCCCTGATTTTTCTGCGCATCTTTAGCAATGGTGTTATGATTTCCTGTGCAGAGTGCACATCTGTGTTCAGATAGTGACTGAGATTTGGTAGAGTGGAAGTGGAGTTAATACCATTATCACTGCAATATTAAGGCAATTTTGAATTACCTGCTTTCTCTACCTTTTTCATACCCAGCTCACACCTGACTTCTACAGAGCTCTGGTACCTTTGCAAGGGCCATTTTGTTTGTCCTCTGTCATTGGAGGGAGTGTCAGCTGTGGCTCTACTGTTGAAGGACTTATGGAAATTTTGGGTCATTTTCTCCAAGCTCTTTACCTGCTCCCAGAATATGATATCCAGGAAGCTGTTGATGAAACCTGTGGGACTGGATTTCAATCAGGTTTTAAAGGATAATTCTTGACACAGCAAGTCTGAAACTTGGTACAAGAGGATATAATGGAGCAGACACTCCCAGCAGGTGTAAAATGAATTATAGGAGCTGCTGAACATCATAAATAATCTTTAAATGGCCACTGGAATGGCCAGGCAAGGGCATGTTGTCCTGCTTTCTTTGCACAAAAGTTATCAATGAAATGCAGAAAGTGGCCAGACTCTTGTGCTCTTTACAAAAATGGCATCTCCTGCTTGCAGTGTTGCAGGCAAGTTTGGATAAGACATTTTTTTATATGCTAAGTTAAATTAGCCTTGTTTAAGAGAGCTTTGTTAGCGTATTGTAACTAACATAATATTAAAAAAAAAGCCACCCTAATTTTTCTCTGGGAAGTTCAAAATTTGAGCTGGAAATGTTCTTTAGTTTTGCTTTTTTTTTTTTTCTTACAAATGGATCAGGCATTTTGCCATTTGCTTGGTACAATTTTTTATTTTTAAGATGTGTTTCAAACACACAAGAAAAAAAACTGGTTTGTGTTTTTTCTGCCAAGTCAGATTCTTCAGGAAATAAGCTACCTGGGACATTTTCTACTTCATCATCATTCTAAACATTTCTGAGACTGAGCTCTGTGTGGAACAGTCCATTTTCATGAAAAGATGAATGGTAATGTGACATGATTATCCAGTAGGTGAGGCAGTTTGTCTCTTTTTCTTTTCTCACAGCTGTTCATTGTGGCCATTTGGGGCCTTGCCTTTTTTCAGGAAGGTCAGTCCTGCAAGGTAATAGGCATCCCTTTGGCATCCCTTCATCTCCTGTTGATTTTGGTAGGGTGTAAATCTGCTCTGAACCTTGTGGTATCTGTCCCCAGCACTTCAGCTCTTTCAAAACCGCCAGCACTTTGGCTGTGTCCCAAGTTGGCTGGGCCCTCCCTACTGGAGGAGAATGATTTTGATTTTGGTAATTTTTTCCTCTTTCTTCCTAAAGTGACAATGCTTACTGTTAAATTTCACTGCATTACTCCATAGCTTTTGAGCTAGGAGCATCTGCTTTTATGGATAAATTCAGGCTGCTGGCTGGAGTGTTAGAGCTTTTGGGGAGGCTCCTCAAACTCCTCAACTTTAGGGCTTTGTTACCAATTGCTGACAAAGTGCAGCAGTTTGGCAAAACCTTTGGACATGAGTTTGAAGGATGGTTCTTCGAAGAAGTGAAGGCTTCATGCTCAAAATGTGTCTTTAAAGTTTTCTCCTTCCTTGATTTGCAGATGTGGGTTTAATTTGATGCATCCTTCTGTCATTACAGTTCAGCTTCCTCGGCTGCTCAAATCCTTAAGGCAACACGTGAATAGAGTCCAAATATGAGAGAGAGAGATGTTCCTTCTTGGGAGATTAGCAAGGAGAATGAACATAAAAATAATGCTTAATTCGTCTTTAAACCTGATTGCATGTTTGCTGAGTGATACTGGCATTTAAACGGAATTAACTTGGCTGTGTGTAGGAGTTATTGATAAAGTAACTCAGAAATACACTTTGCCTGTTTTTGTTTCCATTATGCATTGGAATACAATTTTATGCAAGGCTAGTTTAATGAGGAAACAATATTTTAGAAGGTTGTTATTGCAGCCGTAAAGGTCAACAGCTTTATTTAAGCTTTATTTATTTATTTACTTTTTTCCGGCGAGGGGGGGGCGGGAAGAGAAGGTATTGTGCAAACCTGACTTTTTAAGAACATGAAATGAGGATGTGGCGTTCTCTTGACCCTTTGCAGGTGGGAAGGGCTGTCCCCCTGAGCGAGCCCTGCGGGAGCAGCGTGCCTGCAACGAGCACCCGTGTGTGCATTTCTTCTGGGACGTGTCCCCCTGGAGCTCCTGCTCCGAGGACGTGCTGGGCACTGCCCTCAACGCCACCTCCAGCTGGAGCGGGGAGCCCGCCTGTGGGGTGGGCATCCAGACCAGGAGAGTCTTCTGCAGGAAGAGCAGCTCTGGCCAGGTCACTCCCAAAAGGTATTTAAAGAGAGCTTGCTAGTGTTTGTTTATAATATACATGATGTATAAAGGCATTTTCAGCAAGTGTGTGGACTGCAGCGTTGAAATAATTTCATTTCAGGACTAACTCTCCAGGTACTACTCCATCACTGTTGTAACAGTGATGTAAACAAACCAAATATCCCGCCCATTATAACTTTCCATGTAAATCCAGGAAAAAAAAGCATACTTTCAGTGGTGGAGATTTTTTGCTGTAGCTCATCTGCTACTCTAATTTACAGTTTTCTGCAAATATTTTCCCTGAAGGACAGGTGTGAAGAAAATATGAAATACATTTGAATATAATGTTCAGCAGCTCCTTATTAGCAGTGCTCTAATCAAATAGAAAAAGTAAATAGATTTTGCATTATATTTACACTCCAATAAGGCAGTACCATATGTGTGATGTATATTGTTCACTTGGTTTATATATCTTCCATAATGTGATAGCAACACAGCAAAATTACGTATTCTGCAGTAGAAATACCCCAAATTTTGCTTTGCTTTACTAAATGAGGAAAATAAGTAGCACAGATGTTTTACTTAATATCGAAAAATCAAGATGTTGCTAATTATTTTTGCACCATTAATGAGTCTAGAGACTTAGAACTGAGTTTCCTTTCCTTTCCTGTTGTAACTCTCAAAACAATGCTGTTTGTGTAAGCAGACTGTGCTGATTTCAGTGAAGTTAATTAACATTCTTGAGGTTAATGGGGTTAATTAAATAAAAGGAAAGAAATCTGGTATTCCTGTATGTCTCAAATGCATTGATAAGCTTGAACTTTACCTAATTAAACATATTGTTTATAGAGTTATGTAATGCCTAAAATAATAGTTTGCCTCCTCCACTCTTGAGGTGGTGTAAGAGGAAATGGAACTGAAGGGAGTAAGTAAACACTTAAGTAGCTGAATCATGGTTGTAACATTTTTTTTCTTGTATGGATTAATTGCACATTCCCCCTTCAAATGGGATCATTTTGGGTTGTATGCATTACCAAGTATTGTTGAGTGAACTTTTTAATAGACATTTATAAGGAGTAAGAAAAAGTAATTCCCTTCCTGTTCACCCACTTGATCTGCAAGATCTGACAGATCCCATAAAATTGTCCCTTTTCTGCTCTTCAAGTCTTCATATATTTACTGTGTCTGCAACTTTTATTAGAATGTGTATGACATGTTTTCCATGTAGGAGTTAAAATGAATGAAGAAAATCACAGAGCTCTTTTTACTGTATTGCACTTGAAACTATTTTTGTGTTCCTTGGAGGTTGAAAGTTGAAGAATATGTCATCAGCCCTTACAGACAGGTGGTTTGAAGGCTGTTGCATGTTGTGCTAAAACAGGACTACTTTAAAAACATAACTACTCACTTTCTTTGGTAATAAATATATCTTTTTTTACTGCCATGAGCTTTGTGGTTTTGATGTCACAGACAGAGCTACATTTAGCCTGTAGTCATCTAGCCAAGCTCCCCATTTTTAAAAACAATTATTTTTTTTTAAATTCTTGAAACATAATAAACTCAGCTGAGTTGCATGAGTGAAAAGAAAAATAAGGCTTGCTCTGGCCAGGAGTTGTGTCTTTGATATGGCAGTGTGCTCACAGCCCTGTGAAAGTCTCAGGAATGAATCTTTCTCCGTATTTTTAAGTTTTTATTGTGTTTTATCTGCAGGTGTCCGGAGTCCATCCGGCCCGAGGCGGTGCGGCCGTGTCTCCTGCCCTGCAGGAAGGACTGTGTTGTGACCCTGTTCAGTGAGTGGACACCCTGCCCCACAGCCTGTCAGCCTGGTAAGTCCTAAAGAAGTCAAAACTTGGGGGGAAAATTAGAGCATTGGCCTAGAAACATGTGGCAGATGAAGTTCACACCAGTCTAGTAACTTTTAGGGCATTCATCTCTGTGAATTTTGGACCTGAGGACCTTGGACCTTGACTTTTGAGTTGGCGTTCACGGTGGGATCCTTGTGAGCAGCTTTGGAGATGTGAATTCTCTTTGCCTGGAAAAAATTCCTTCTGAGTTTCTGCCTTCAGAGTCACAGCTCCAAGGCCCCTGTGCTGTGTGGCTTCACATGGAATTGCACATTGCATATTGCAATTACATATCAAATGTAATTTTCTCAACCAATCTGCATGTATATACAGGGGTGTGCAAGTACCCCCTGTACTTTGTTGTTTCTCAAGGGCCAAACATCTTTGATCTTGTTGGTTAACTTTGAGGCACAATGAGTGTTCAACAAAGTTTCTTTATAATCATCTAATGTTGGGTTTTCTGACGAATTTGTTTCATTAATTGTTCAGATGAAAGTCTGCTCAGTTATCAGAATGCTTCATTATTGTTGGTAGTTTCCTTGCCCTTCAAAGATTATCAGCGGATGCTTTAGCATAGTCCTTGTTATATTTTACAGGAAAATGAGTTGCTTTCTAAAACAGTGAATCCTGTTTTAATTAGCAATTTATTTTTAGACTTTAAATGAGCTGCCTATGAAGTAGTAGAATAAATTACCTGGTAAATTACTTTGTTTATTAAATAATAGTCTACAATTAAAATGAGAAGAAATTAATTATTTAACCTCCTTGGCAGTGTTATCATTTTAATATAATTCTAAATTAAAACTTCTTAGATGAGGGAGTTTGTTTTTTGCTAAATCTGTTATTGATATGGCTGCATTGCAAGATTTTTTTTTTTAATTTGCATTGTGCAATTAAAACCTCAGCATTATAATGAAATTTGAAAGCCACTATACATACATGAGTTGTTAGGGGTGTTGTGGTTTTTTTATAGAAAAGTTGTATTTAATGAAAGCAATATACAGATGGTGAATTACTAATCAGATCAAGCAGGAACAGGTATTGCCTGGCAGATTTAAAATTAATTGTGTACCAGCATAAGATCAGAACTTAGACAAACATGGAATCACTAAATCACCTTTACACAGAACTTTACCAGTTGAGCTGTTTGTAGTTTATCTGAGGAAATACATCCAAGCTTACCATCTCACAATAAAAAAGCTGACATTTTCCCTACATTTAAATGTCATCAGACAACCGTCTGTCCTCTGGCAGAAGATTATCTGCTGCCTCAGGAGTGCAGACAGCACTGAACTCAGGGCAGTAACAGATGGGTGGACAACATAATTCACAAAGGAAGTGCCACTGAGTCCCAGCACCTGGTGGGGAGGCAGGAGCAGGGAGCTTGTTGCAAGTTATTGATTCTTTGCCATTTCAGATACTTACAGGTGGCAACTGTCTACTGCAATCTGTCTGTTTTACCTGGGCTTTGAGGATGGATTGAAAAAAGAATCAAAGCAATAGGGTGGTTTCAGGATATGAAGTGGTTTGAATGAGCAGCAGGTGGATTTTCCTCTGTCACTTGCTTTCCCTGGGGTGAAGGTGGCCTGGAAAGGTAACTGCTTTCAGCATGGATGAGGTACTACCTGGTCTGTCAGCATGGATTTAAAACAGGGAGATTAAAAAAAGCAAACAACTAACAATAAATAACATTTTTCATCTTCCTTCTGAAAATAGATGGTACCTGTAAGTACCTCTTCTCTTCTGGGCATTGGCTGTCCAGGAGGAAGGTTAGAAATTTCAGTTACTTAATTCTCTAAACAAGTTTACATGAAATGTTAGATAGTAACTGCCCTATTTTTCCCCATGCCTTAAATCAGATTTGAAATGAGATGGATTAAAAGTGGATAAAATGCATGGTGTGCCACAATAAGAAATTCCAACAACCTCTGCCTTGTGTCAGAGAGTCCATGATCTGCCACTTCCAATCCTCATAAACACAAAACCAGAACTGGTCAAAGTGAAAGACTTAAGAGCTCTTATGTCTACAAAGGTATTGGAGATGACACTGGTTTTGTTGACTAAAATCCCAGAAAATCACAGAAATTTTGTCCATTTTTTTTGTGTGAGCGGAATCTTGTGATGACCGGACTCTGGCTTTCCATCTGCTCAGGATCAGAAGCTGGATGTTTTCTTTGGAAGCTGGACCTGGTACAGCACATGTTCCAGGAGTGAAAATGGATTTTGTCCCTCACCTGAGAATGGTGATGCAGCTCTGTGAGCCCTGGGGGTGACAGAGGAAGGAAGGATGCAAGATCCAGGCAGGAGTAAGAGTGGGTTGGTAGGAGTTGTGTGGCTCTGTAAAGGAGGAGAATGGAGACTGGTGGCACAAGAGAGGAAAGTGGAAGCAGAGTTAAGACATCCCTGAAATTCTCAAACAGCATTATCTGAGTTGCAAAGTCAAGGACAGAGAAGTTAAGATGGTCCTAAGATCTTGAGGCTTGACTTTTTTTCAGGAGGGCAAACAGTCATAGCCATGCTGGAAATCAGTTTGGCTTTAAAAGGACAGACCTCCATAGTGCTAGTACTCTGGAAAAATCAGGCAGTTTTAACTGAAATATAGAAATTATGCTCATTAACATTTATAAGGAATGCTATAGAAAAGCCAGTGTGAAAATTCAATTTTGAAAATGGGGTTTTAGTAAGGTGCAATAAATGTTGAGGATAATTTAGTTTCTTGAGGTGGAGAAAATGACTGTGGGAAGCTCATTTAGATTTGGTACTGATTAATAGGAAGGAAATGGGTAAGATTCAAATGGTGGTAGATAATTTGAATGAAAATCATCACAAAGTGATAGAGTTCATGATTCTTGGAAAGGAAGGATGGCAATATCAACAAGACATTAGAAAAAAAAATAGACTTCAACAAACTGCAGAAATTGGTATCTACACCTCTTGGAACTTGTTCTATGCAGACAGGAGTACGGAAGACCTGGAAGCTCCAAGAGAGCTTCTTCAAGGGGCTGAAGCCCTCCTGGACTGTAATTCCTATTCTGAAATTGTGCTAACAGCAAGCCAGTAGCACTGGGAGCAAGGCATGTGTAGATCTGTATGTGATTTGCAAGTTCCAGGTTCAAACCATCAAGAGGAGCACCACACACATCTAGAGAAGCTCTTTTTTGTCTTACTATCAGAGCTGTTCAGGATCTTGTTTCCTTTTGGATTCTCATTTTGTTTCACAATAGATTAGAATCAAGAATGCAAACTAAGCTGGAGGATATTAGACAGTGAAAATTGCATAAATGGATTAAAAATAAAAGGGAACTGAATGAAATGTACATTCTGAGAAATGGGGGAAGTACAACATGGGGAATGTGCAGTTGTTGCCATTGTTTCCTGTCTGCAGCCAGGAGAAAAGGAATGTTTCCAATGAGTAGCTGTTCCCATGTCGTTGGGGCTGTGTGAATAAGAAGGAAGTAGTAAAGTAATGCCAGAGCATCACCTGACTCTCTCATGGGTGAGAAATTAAGTCTTAAAAAACTAAAACTCAGTAATAACAAGGCAGACCAAACCAAAAGTCTCCCTCTCACCTCTGCTCCTCCAAAAAGAAAGGTCAAGAAAATTGTAGATTACTCACCCTAGCTTTGTTATGTAGAAAGCCACAAGAGCAAGTTATTACTCAAGATATAAACATTTCAAGAATCAGGTTGTAATAAACTGGCCAGTAAGGATTTATTGAGCACAAATTGTGCCCAATAAATAAAATCTCTTCTTTTTTTGACAGAGTAGTTGTTCTAATTAAGGGAAGTGGTAGATTTTTGACACATTAAACTTTTATCAGGAAGCTGAGGAACAGTGGCTTAAATTAAATCACTCTTAAATGGGTACTCAGCTGCTTGAAAAATCTCACAGTGGATATCACAGTGAAAATAGTCTGTGTCCTTTACTGCCTGTTGTAGTGTATTGATACATACTGATGAGATCCTGTGAGTCCCAGCTTTCCTGGTCTGACTCTGTGTGTCACATGCTCTGCTCCCTAAATAGTCTTTGTGGCCTCAGGCACCTCTGGAGATGCAATGGACTACAAAATGAATGGAAGTCAGCAGTTAGAAATGCTGAAACTCACACCAGGCTTGTCAAATTCCAGGCATGTTGGTCGTGAGACCCCTGAGGGGTCACTGCACTGCGCCCTGGGGAGGCTGCAGGTCCTTGGGCACAGTGTGAAAGTGAGCAATGAGAGGACTTGAATTGGACCTACAAAGCTGGGTTTGCTTAGTTTAGAGAGGGGAACACTTAGAATGGATGCAGGCCCTTGCAATTTTGTAAATGTTATGCATTAGGTGACAGGGATAAACTCTTTTCTTGATGTAGTGGACAGAAGATAAAAAAGTTTCATTTCCAGGAGTGATGGTGTGGGCTGGGTTTTAAGAACAGGCTCTTTGTGAGGCTTTACAGGCAGCAGATCAGGCTGTGAAAGGAGACTGTGGAAGCTGTAGAGCTGCCTCAGGTACGGCTGTGAAAGCAGCAGGAGAGGATCTCTCTGGATGTGCTTTTCCTGCACCAGGGCAGCAGCTGTGCTGAGCAGCCTCCTGCCAGTGCAGTGTCCCTTGCAGGGATCTCACAGGGGTGGCACGTGTGCCAGTGGAAGCTTGTATGACTTGGTGTTTTTAAAGTCAACTTTTTTCTTGGATCTGTGCTTGTTCTTTGTGTTCATGATGTGACTTCTAAGTTTTCCTTCTATTCTCTACATTGTAATTTTGCTGCTGCAACTTTGCTCTTATTCTGAGCTAGAAAAGTAATACTCATAGTGGTCTTATTGGCCCACTATGCTTTCCTCTTTCAGACATATTTGTTGAAGTCCATTATTTAAAGCTTTTTACATGGTCTGTAACATCCATTAAGGAGTTCTCATGAGATCCCTTTTTACTTCTCTAGCACCTGTTTTTGAAGTGTGAGTACAGTACCCAGAGAATGCCATATGCACTGGTTAAACCAGCTCTCAGTTTGCTCTTACCACTTACACAGCCAAGGATTGTGTTTGCTTTAGCTGGAGAGACAAATAGATAAATCTTGTTCTTGTCTTTCCTGCTGCATTCTGTGCATGGATTTTGTGAACTGTGTTTCTAGATGGATTGGTCTTGCATCAACTCAGGTTAAGTAGGGAGTTAGCCTCTGTTGGTTGCAATGGTTTTCCTATCAGGAAGTTATCATCTCTGATTTCTAGAGCCATAAAGATGGGTTACTGGTAGCAGCCTGAGACCCCCAGAATGTGTTCTCAGAAAGAAAACCTTCCTTTATGACAGTTTGTTTCTTTGGCTTTTATTCTTTTTCCAGTTAAGGTGTTTATTTTCTTATTTATTTATGGTCTTACTTGATTTGGTGTTCTGTTAAACAGATGCTTTTTGATGCATTTCTTAGGCAGTTGATTTATCATCCTTCCAGCTGCTGTCCTGCTGAACTACTGATAATTTTAAAGGGACAAATGTTAGAATGCTCATAGTTTCAAAATATAAATGAAACACAGAGCATGTTTCTAACCAAGGCAGCTAAATCATTAACTGTGTCTGAAAGACAACTTGTTTTTTTTTTTTTTTTTGTTTTTGCTTTACAGGCAATGCCACTGCAGTTAGGCAGTCCCGGTACAGGATTATCCTTCAGGATTCTACCAATGGGGGACAGCCATGTCCAGACACCTTGTATGAGGAAAGAGAATGTGAAGATGTTCCCATCTGTCCAGTGTATAGGTAAAAGCTGTTAGCTTGGAATCTGTCTCTAGTGGGTGTCTCCTTCTCCAGAAATGACTCTTGTTCCTGCACAATTTTCACCATAAAATAACACAATTTTGGAAAATGCAGAGTTCAAAACAAATAGTGTACCTTGCAAAATGTGTAAAAGTAGAGCTCAAGCTGGAGATTTCAGTAGATCTGGCATCATCAGAACAAGCACCTACAGACACAGCTCCTAGAAATAGTAACCTCAGGTTTGATCTGTGTAAGGAAGCTGTTACTGGGAACTCCCCCCTCATTGTATCTAAAAATCAATGTAAGCTATTTTGGGACCACAAACCCTAGAGTGTCTGAATCATAATTGCATGGTTATTGCAGAAACTCTTGTCTTTTCCCCTGGTACTCTCACTCCAGTGAATAGTACACACTTAAAAAGTTCTAATTAGACAAATAATACTATAGAGCAGTTACTCACTGCTCTTCATTAAGATTCTGTGGTCCATCTGTTGTGCAGTATTAGTAAATAGAAAAGCCATTATATCTTTGCATATGAATCTCCAGCCTGCACATCCCATGGAAGATGGTCCTGGAGCAGAGTGTGGAGCTGAAGGCAGTGCCAGGCAGGGGACAAAATGCTCTCCTCTGCCTGATGCCATGGCTGTGAGCGTGGAAAGCAGACTGGGAGCAACATCAGCTGTATGAGAGCAGGAGGAGAGCCTGGTGACAAAGCCCACTGGAGCTATTTCCTGTGTGTGTTACCTAACTTTGAAACATGCCCTGCAAGATGAGAAAGGGGAACCTTGTTGGACAAGGATGTGACTTCCTAGAAGGTGAACCTGGCATCTGAAATCCAGTTCCCAGTGCTTGTGTCAGGAGTAATTACAGCTTTGTGACTCCAAATGATTGGTAACTGGAGTTTGTGCTGAGATTTGTTCCCTGTTTTCCAGTTTGAAGCACTTCATTGTTGGCTGTTCTGCTGCAGGTGGAAGAGCCACCGCTGGAGCCCCTGTGTGCTGGTGCCGGCCTCGGTGCGCCAGGGCCCGCCGGGGCAGAGCGAGGCGTGCGGGCACGGCCTGCAGTCCAGGGGTAAGAGTCTCCATCCTGCCCCCAGAGCTAAAGGTGCTGCACTTGGCTTTTAAGTCTTTGCTCTTTTGCAGTAGGTAATTTGGAAACTAACTGAACTACTTTACTCTTCTGGTTCAGGGCAAATCTGGGAGAGAATTTTTAAAGGTGCTCCTCTAGGAAAGCAGATTCAATTGGCCCCTCCCTGCGACTGGTCTAGGAGAAAATGCTTCTTTGGAGAAAAATGGAAAAAACCTGTTTATTAAACAATAAAACCTAATCAATATTAATCAATATAACCCTTTGCTGCTCCGAAAGAGATGACAAACTGAGAAAGTCCCCTAAGCTCACTCAGTCTCTGATCAGTCCCTCAGGCGCTGGAAATGTCGCAGGCCAGGCCCGGCCTGGTGGCCTCAGGTGGAGCTGCTGGTGCTCTGCTGTGTGTTCAGTCCAGAGCAGCTTTAAACAGGTCCAAGGAAAAGGGAAAAAGGAAAAAAACACAGTCTAGGGAACTTCTTTGCCTCAGCTAGCTAAACTAACTAACAGCAAAGGAGAGCTCTGTCCTGCTGTCTGTCCATCCACAGACAACACAGTCAGGAGCAGGAATGTGGAGGAGTGAGTGCAGTGTCTGAAAACAAACTGCAGCTTCTTCTCTGCCCCCTTCACTCTCTGGAACACATCTTAAAGGTGCAAAACTTATTATTCAGCATAAACAGAACATGACAATTGGGTATAAAAGTCAACCTAGGACATTTACAAAATAAAGTGTTGGGAACTGCTTCCTTTATAGAGTTGTTCTGCTGTTCTGGGCATTAAAGTACCACTAACACAATAGCTTGTAGTATAGGAGGAGATCTGTGCTTGATGTTCAAATATCTTAACCTGCTTTTCTGCCTAAAGCTGAAGTGTGTGAGCTTTAAATGAATTATCTATAGGCCTTTATGAAGTAATCCATTCTTTGTGCTAAAAATGGAAAGGATAATTTCCTCATGATTTTGAATTTTACTAATGATTTGCCTACGGCCTGATTTTCATTAAGACTGTTGAAGAAATTCAGCATGGGTAAAGGTTTTGGGCTCCTGCCCTTAGCATAATTAAGCACTTAGAAATTAGTGGTCCCATTGTCTGAACAGAAGTGTTGAGAAGAATGTTCAGAGTATGCATCAGTCTGTAGTGGTGCCTGCAGATGGCTGGAGATGTGGTTGTTATCAGTCTCCTGGAAAATACAATGAAACCTTTAACAAAAGATTATTTTTATTGAAAAAAAATTGCCATACAGGTATGCTAACTGAGGAAACTTGACATAATAATTTACTCCTTCACAAAGGTAGAAGCTATTCTTTAAAGATGAAATGAATTTCTTATATAATTTGGAAACAAAGGAAAAGAAAGAAAAGCCCTGACAGTATGTGGGATGTATCTGGAAGAAGAAATGTGTTTTAAACTAAAACTCAAAGGAGTAAATATCTTTAACTAGGTTTTGACCACAAGCCTTTCCACAAGGTTTTCAAATCTGTAAATTGTATTGTTCAGTCTGTGTGGAGGGATGGTAATCTTGATGTTCTAGTAGGTGCATGAACTTTGTGTTCATCTTACTCTGACAGAATTAGAAGTATAATAGAAGAGTATCACACTTACTTTTACTGTATGGATAGCCCTCCAGTAATTACCTAGGCTATGTGCTGTTCTTGGGTAATTGTGAAAAAATCTGCCTGGGTGAATTTAAGCAAAAATAGTTTCAGTGCCACGTTCACTTTTTTGTAATTAACTGTGGCTTTTGTAACAGCTTCGGTTTTCATAATTACATATAGTGATAGAACCACTCTTCTGGGTATTATTATAGATGAGTGAGGTCTCAGGAAAAGGAGATCTCAGATGAAACCAATGGAAGAAGATTTTTAAAGATATTTTGTATGAACAGGAGGAGTGATCTCCACAGAAAAGGCAGCTGAAACCCAGCTGCTAACTCTGACCATACTGTGTCTGGAAAAGAAGCTGCTGGGTTTTCAGCAGTTCTGTATCTTATCTGTAGAAGTGTTTAGTAAGGGAAAATTTCATAAAGGTTTTGTTAATACCTCTCCTTGCTGGTACTTGAGCTCCTCAGGAGTGTGCAGAGGTGCTCTGTGTTGTCAGGGAGCAGTCCTTTAGGCAGGGGAGATATTTGCTTGCATGCCTTGCAAGGGCTCTTCAGCTTGTAAACCTCAACCCTGGAGGACTTCTGATCCTCTCATTCTTCACTGGAAGGGGGTTTTGGACATATTTTTGAATTACCATGTGAGGTGAGGCTGGGGATTTGGGTTTATTCAGCCTGAAGGAGAGTCTAGTGTGGAGTTCACAGGTGAGATGGAGCCACACTTATCAGAGATGCACAGTGGATTAACAGAAGACAAGTCACAGACTGGAGTGAGAGAAACTCCCAGGTTGCCCAGAGAGACTGTAGATAGCTTGGAGATAATGAACACTTAGCAAAAAAAGGTCTTGAGCAGCCCTTTCTGACTTGGAGATTGACCCTGCTTGGAGCAGGCACTGGATCCTCAGAGGCCCCTTCTGTCCGAAATTTCCTTGTATGATACTGTGAGTCTGTGGGTGTTTTCAGGGGTATCTGGGCCATCACTGGAAGAATCCCAGGTGTAAGAGATAATTGCTGCCTTCCTGCAATATTCAGGCATCCTGTGAATGAGCTTGCATTCGAGGTATCACCACCACTCCACACAGTAATTGCATTACATAAAGTACAGCATCTCTAGCCAGTAGGTGCTTCTTCTCCAAAGAGTATTCATATGAATTTGGCTGGTTCCTTTTTTGCTGTGTGAAGCAATTACCCTTTTACTTCTGAAGATAATCAGTCTCACTGTTCCTTGGAGCATCCATTTTTAAATTTTTTTTCTCTCCATACCCTGACTGTCATATAAAAAAGAGGATTTTAGTTTTCAGTGATTGTCATATCTAGCCAATTATATAAGAACGTTGAATTCATATAAATTACTTCTAAAAAAAAAAAGTATGTGTTTATGTGTACCTATTTAGGACAATTACTGTACTGATGGAAAATGAGGTTTGAAATAACTTTCAAGCTCTGTTCTTTCTCTTGGCTAGATTCTGAGATAGATACTTAGAGATCCTGTTCCATGAGCATTTTCACTGAAATTGCATGTAAACGTACTGCATAATATGCAGGAGATATCAGAGTTTGTCTGTGAATAATAAGCAGAATAGCCAAGGAGATGACAGCTGTCTGAAGCTGCAGTTTTTTATGGTTTTATCTTGGAAAGATATTACACTAATTACAATAGCCTTTCATTTTTTATGTCAGCTTCAATGGACTAACTTATTCAGCAAGCAGTGCCACAGGAAAGAGAAAGGTAGCCTTTAAAACTAATAAATATAGTTGTTATTTAAACTTAGTTGAGGCATGATTGGCAAAAAGACCCCAAGACAGGGCACTCAAATAAAACAGGGTGAGGATGTTGCTTGACAGTTACATAAGACAACATTACTATCAGTAAATGAGGATCTCTGCAAGCTTTTGTGTTGCTGTACAGCTGTCATTTGCCTCCACCAGGGACTAATTTACTAGGAGATGTCAAGATTGTGAGGAAAGGTCCCACACAGGGGTGAGGATAATCCCAAGCAGAAATACAGGCTGGGTGAAGCATGGAGTGAGAGCAGCCCTGGGAGGAAGGACTTGGGAGTGTTGATTGATGAGAAGCTCAGAGATGGCAATGTGTGCCTGAAACCCAGACACCCAGTCTTGTCCTGGGCTGCATCCAAAGCAGTGTGGGCAGCAGATGAGGGAGGGGATTTTGCCCCTCTGCCCCACTCTGAGACCCCACTTGGAGCTCTGCTTCCAGCTCTGGGGTCCTTACATGAGAAGGATGTGGACCTGCTGGAGCAGATCCAGGGGAAATCACAGAGATGCTCAGAAGACTCAAGAACCTCTGCTAGAAGGCAGGCTGGGGTTGGTCAGCCTGGAGAAGAGAAAGCTCCAGGGAGATGTTGGAGTCCCTTACAGTGCCCTAAAGGGGCTTCAAGAGAGCTGGAGAGGGTGTGGAGTGATAGGGCAAGAGGGAGTGGTTTTAAACTGACAAAAAGTAGAGCTGGAAGAAAGTCTTACCTTTGAGAGTGGTTGGGCCCTGGCACAGGATGCCCAGAGAATTGGATGCCTCCATCTCTGAAGTGTTCAGAGATCAACCCTGGAATAGTGGAACGTGTCCTTGCCCGTGGCAGAGGTGGAACGAGATGAGCTGGATGGTTTCCAATTCAGACCATTCCATGGTTTCATGAGAATTGCTGCTTCTTCAGGTGCTGTTTGGTGACTTTACCTTGTTTTGGATATTTGTGATGGAGGATCCTTCAGGAATGACCTCTCCTTTCAGTGCTGACATGAAGAGCTACCTGGGACACACAGTTTTTTGGGGAAAAATGTGTTTGCTGATTACAAGGGATTGTTCAGGTTTAATTAGTGGATGGAAAGCCTGTTTTAAGCAAGTGTCTTTGAAGGTTGCTTCAAATGCCATTGGTGATGTAAACAGACATGTATTAAAGACCAGACAGGTCTAATGAGACTCTGCTTTAAAAACTGGTCCTGGAAATACACTGACAACATGATTATGAAAAAAACAAGTTGCTTTCCAAAAGCAGGGAGAAGCTGCAGCAATGGAAAATGCCATGTCTTATTTCTCCTGCTCCTGCCACTTTGCTTTGATTCATTTGGAGTGTTTGACCATATTTCCCCCTGTTAATGAGACAGTAAGTCCTTCTCAGAGCTGTAGCTCCCCATCTCAAGAATACAGAAATGCTGTGACACAGAGCAGGAAATATTTTTAGAGATAGTTTATTGATTTATGTACAGGAAAACAACAATGCACACTCACCAATGCAGTAATAAGAAGCTATTCCTTACCTTTGGAGAACAGAACTCTCCCTGTCTCACTGGAGTTCGTGGGGTGGATCAGTCCTGGACAGCCCCATTGAGCATCTCTGGGGTGTATTTCTTTTGCTTGCTCTACTGTCAGACCACACAG